GTCTACAAAGCAAGTTCCAAGACAGCCAGGGCTACACAGAGAAACCCTGTCTCAAAAAATCAAAAAAACAAAAAAACAAAAACAAACAAACAAAACCATTCTGTGGTGTGATTTTCTTATTGGAAGAATAGGATGTGAACTGTACGCATCTCTGACCCTGGGTGGAGTCATGACTTTCTGAACTGTCAGGAAGATCGTGAGATTACCATCTGGCAGGAGGCTTTTAGATGAAGAACAAGGACAGGTCATTGTCTCCTCCCTTAAGAGTTAACTCCAATAGGCCTGTCAATCACCAAGAGAGAAGACACTGCTAAGGAAGCAGGCCTGTGCTAGTGACTTTGGATCGGAGATCAATGAGCTTGCTGTTCTCGAAAAGGACCTGAATGTGGTTCCCAGAGCCCACACCAATCAGTTCACAACCTCCCATGATTCTAGCTTCAGGGGACCTGATGCCTTCTTCTGGCCTCTGTGGGCACTGCACCCTGCACATAAACCCCCACAGAAACACACATACATATGCGTATGCATATAGTTAAAAATAAACTCCCTAAGGAAAAGAAAAGAGCATAAAATCGACCTAAACATGTAGGCCAGAACAGTGGTCTGGTGCTGTGACCATTGTCCACTCACTCTCCAGAACAGTGTCAGTCTCTCCAGTGGCCCTTTGATCACCGTCCAACCTGGAGTTAAGGTGGTTGTGAGCCACTCAGCATGAGTGTTGGGAACCAAATTTGGGCTCTCTAGAACAGCAAATTCTCTAAACTGCTGAGCTGCCTCTCCAGCTCCCTCTCATACTGTTTTTGTTTGAGGTCGTGGGGGCTCAAAAGCCCAGGACTGTTTACCTGCTACACAAGTACACTACCACTGAGCTCCATCACTCACCCAGCGTTTACATCGTATTTACCCAGTGCTAGTCAGCATTTACATCACCTCTTGCTGGCACTTCTTCCCATGCTCACCATTTCCCTTTGAATAAAAGAATTCAGATTTTCAGGGGCTTGATTGGCAAGGTGCCATTCTTGGTATTTTGACTTCTTGGGTGTTACTTACATATCTCCCAAAACTTACCAGAGGGATATGTGGATTGAAACCTAGGGCTTACAGAAAATGTTTCCAGAGGGGTTAGAGAGCCAGCTCCATGGTTGAGTGTTTGGTTCCCAACACCCACACTGGATAGCTCACAACCACATATAACTCCAGCTGGGCCCTGAAGGACAAGCCAACCAGCTTTCATCCGCTGCCCACTGCAACAAGCATGGAGCCAAGTTGAGTCCATAGAACAAAGCCGAAGACTTCTGAGGACTGGAGAGGGTTGGCCTTATCTGTTTTCTCCAACAGCGAGGAGGAAGCCAGAGGCCCTTCGACACATGCGACTGTTTTCCAACCATAGAAGTCAGCTTAAACACCAGAATGATGCTGAGAAGGAACAGGGGAGAAAGAACGGAAACGCATATAGAACGTGTTCCATGATCCAAGCAGGCCTGAAGGGTCCCATACTTCCAGAATTGTCACAGGCCGTGACTAGCAGGGACCCCCCCCCCTTTCTTTCTCTCTCCAGTGTATCCCCAGCATAGAGTAGGTTCTCAGTTTAGTTTATCAACTGAAGAAACATGAATAAGATCACCATGCTGTGATGGCTCATCTTCATCATCACCTTGACAGGATTTACCGTCACCATGGAAACACTTCTGGGTATATCTCGGGAGAAACTTTCAGAAAGCTTTAACTGAGGAGGGAAGACCCACCCTGAATGTGGCTGTCACCATTCCAAGGTCTGGGATGAACAGGAAGGAGAAATGGAGCTGAGCGCCAGCCTCCACCTCCCTCTGCTTCCTGACTGGAGACGCGATGTGAGCAGCTGCTTCACCCTTCTGTCCCACCCCTTCCTGCCATGACGGACTGTGCACCCTCGAACTGTGACTCAGAACAGACCCTTCCCCAGTTAAGTGGCTCTCTTCAGGCATCGTGTCACAGCAACCAGGAAGGTGACTGACACAGCCGCTTTGTTCAGAGGGCTCCACCAGGTCCTTAGGACTCTAGGAAACACCAGAAGCCTGTGGCAGGCAGTGAAGGGCAACCGTGGGCTCGCAGCACAGTGCTCACGGCTCTGAAGGAAATGAATAAACTGTAGTCTTTGATTTGATGATTGCACTGACTTCTGAGCTAAAAGAGGGGTGTGTGTGTGTGTGTGTGTGTGTGTGTGTGTGTGTGTGTGTGTGTGTGTGTGTGTTGTGCACATGTACTTTCAGGTATACACACCCATGAATGTGCATGAAGAGGCCAGAGGAGGCCAAGTGTCAACTCTACCACTCTCTACCTAACTCTCTTGAGACAGGCTCTGTCACTGAAGCTGGAGCCAGGCTGGCAGTCAGCCAGCCTCAGCAATCCTCCTGTCTCTACCTCCCACTGAGGTTACAGGCGTGTACAGCACACTTGACTTTTTATGTGGATGCTGGGGATTTGAACCCGGGTCCTCCTGTTCATGCAGCAAGCACTCTTGCCAACTGAGTCATCTCCCTAAACCCCCTATTCCTTTTTATGTTTTTAGACATGTAGCCCAAGCTGGCCTTGAACTCCTATACATCCAAAGATGAATGTCGGCTTTGGATCCTCTTGTCTCTGCCTCCTGAACCTCCTGCTGGGGTTCCCTATGTGCTCCCAAAACCCAGTTCATGCAGAACAGGTGACCAAAGTCAGAGCTTCGCATTCGCCAGGCAGGCATGGTACCAACCTGGCTGCATCTACAGCCCCACCAAAGAGGAGGACTTATCCCCCTGTACCTCACCCCTCCCACACTCTGTGAAGTAGGTCCCAAGTGGTCCAGTGGTCCCAAGAAACGCTGGACACACAGGCTGCTGTGTGCCTCTCCCCGGCGGAGTGAGCGCCTTCAACTCCCCACAAGACATTGTCTCCTCTGGACTCAGGAGGGGGAGAGAAAGAGGGACGAGAGAGGGGCACCCAATACTGCCCCTAGGGGACAAGGCTGCCCATAAAAGGCCTTTCTGTCTTATTTCCTTTTCACCCGGCGTATAGCCCTAAGAGGTCAGTCTAATTATTTCCGTTTTTATAGATGATGACGCTGGGCTCAGAGAGGTGATAAAACTAGCTAATGTTGCTCAGCTCCTAAGGGAAGGTGCTATCATTCAAGCCCTGGCCTTACTGTAATTTCTGCCACATTGTACCAGAGGTGTGAGGCCCTCACACCAACCCAGCCAGGATGTCTGAACCCCTGCAAGTTCCGCCTCCACCAGCACTTCAGTGGGGAGCCTCCTCCAGGCAGGCAGCCCAGATTTCCCCACCACAGGTACAGAGCTGTGGCAACTTTCAGGGTCACCAACTTGCCCCGGGCCAGGATTCAAAATGGATCACAAAAACAACTTTCTCAGAACCAGGCTCTTCTCCTGCTTCGGCCCTGCTAAAGACCATGCTTCTTGGGGACGAAAGCGATGTCAGCCTGTTGTAAGGAGGTAGCTCGTCCAGTGACTCATGGTTTGAGGCCTCATGACCCAGGCCAGAAGCGAGGGACTGCCAGGAGAGCCCTCATTAAAATCAAAAGGACATGGCACGAAAGGGGACCAGTCTTAGTAAACTGTGACTCACAGCTGCAGGGCAGGTGGACTCATCTCTGGTCCCCATCACTTCTGCAGCAGGGACAGAGCACCCAGGGGCCGGGAGGGGGTGGGGGTTGGGGAGGATGGGGGTGAGGGTGGGGGTGGGGATAGTAGCAGGAAGTGGATGGGCAGGGCTGGAGGTGGGGCTGCTGCCCTGGGCCCTGTCTTGTTTACAGGGCTTTGCTCCTGTGTTCAAAACCTTTCTTCCCAAATCACACAGCCCAGGGAGCCCTCTCCTCCTGACTCTATGGAGATGCTCCCCGAGGCCTGGGGCCTCTGGCCCAGGGTGTCTGGATTCCTTCTCTTGAGGCCCAGGCAAGGCCAGGGAGAGAAGACAGACTCAGCCCCTTAAGGAGCAGCTGAGGCTTGACGTTGTGGAGAGCGGTCTTTGGTCATGCGCCCTAGTCACTTCCCCAGACTGAAAGTATAGGAAGATAGGTTTTATAATCGTGGTAATATAAAGTCAAACATAGTCCGGGCCGTATTATACTAATTTTTTGGATTTTATAATAAGTCATGTCCTGAGAAGCACTGTGCTCCCCCACAAGGGGCTAAGTTGGCTTTGGGTAAGTCCTTTGGGGTTGCCTGGGTCCACATTGTGGCTCCCCATTTACTGAGGTGTGTGGATCTGTTCCCTCCTCTGTGACAGGGGAATAATGGAAGCCCAAGTCATTTGGGGCTACTGAGGGCATTGCTCTGGCCTTATTTATGAGTGACTCACCTGAGACCCTGTACATGCTCAGTGAGGCCTAGTTCTCCTGAAGGAGGTGAGGCAGGATACCTCTGTCTCTGTAACATGGACAGGAACACTGGTGTCCCAAGCAGGGGTAAAGAAAGGCCTTGTGATCGGGATGGACTCAGAAGGCCCCGAGTGTTGAGCGAAGCTGATGGTCAGGTTATCTCAGTCAGGGAAGGATGAGGAGGGGGCACTTCTGCCATGGAATGGGACAGACTTGGTGCTTGGCCCTGTGAGAACTTCAGTGTGTCCACCACACTGGGTCTCATCCACTGAGTCGGTTTACACGGAATGGGTGCAATACCAAGCACGGGAAAACAGGACACAGTCACCGGGAGCAAGGATTACAATTTTGAAACGTGGGGGTCCGGGAGGTGGGAAGGAAGAAAGATGACCACAAGACTACCCCACCCCTGTTCCCACACCCCCTTGGAGGCAGAGTCCCAAGGGCACTAGCTGGCCCCTCCCCTGGGAACTTGGCCAAAGTGTCAAAGCTGGAAGAATTATTGCATCACTGGGCACTCAAGGGTTAATGACGGGGAGTGGGCAGGACCTGTGTATTTAACTAATTGGGAGGTGGCCTGAGATCAGAGGCCCCTGGCACTTCCCTCCACCGCAGCAGGCTCCCGTGCCCCCTGCTTACCTTCCCTAGGATGAAACCTCCCCTTGCCCTGACCTTCCTTTGCCTCCTGGGTAAGTGACCTTCATGACCTCCCCGCTTCCCAGTCCATCTGGCAATAAGAAGCTCTCTGGATGCCTGAGCATGGCCCTGCAGAGGGCATCATGGGTACCAAGTGCTAGAGGCCACCTGCCTTCCCACCAGCCACCTGGTGGCCCTGAGGCATGTGCTGCCTGAGCTAGCACTGACTGGAGGGGGCGGGGGTGCTGAGGAGAATGCAGTGGGAAAGGGAGTGGGGGCCATGGCATCCCCACTGTGGATGGGCACCTCCCCACAGCTCAATCAGAAGGGTGTGGAGGAATTTGGGGAGGTCCATAGAGGTGGCTAAGGAAACAGGCACAGGGGGTAGGTGATGAGCTCTTTGTGGGGAGCAGAGTGCTGCTGGGGAGACCAGGCTGAGGTGTGGGGCAATTAAGATTTCTCTGAGAAAGATGTAAAGAGTCAGTGGAGAGCCCCGACAGCATGAGCAGGTGGAGGGGAGTGAGGAGCACCAGGTGGGCAGGAGACTGCAAAGACAGGCAAGCATGAGGACCAGAGTTCGAATCCCCAAGACCCATATAAAAGCTAGGCATTGTGGCATACATCTGTAACCCCAGTGCTGGGGGACAGAGATAGGCAGATCCTCTTGGCTTGCTGGCTAGGCAGTCTAACCAAACAGGCAACGTCTAGATTCATGGAGCGATTCCAGCTCAAAAAATAAGGTGTGAAGTAATAAAGACATTTGATACCAGCCGGGTTGTGGTGGTGGCACACACCTTTAATCCCAGCACTCGGGAGGCAGAGGTAGGCAGATCTCTGTGAGTTCAAGGCCAACCTGGTCTACAGAGTGAGTTCCAGGACAGACAGGGCTACGCAGAGAAACCCTGCCTTGAAAAAAAAAAAAAGACATCTGATACCAAGCACTGGCCTCCGTGGATATGCACATATGGGTCACACACACACACGCACACACACACACGCACACGCACACACACACGGTGAGGGGAGAGGGAATGACAGGGGTGGACCTAGGGGATTGAAGCTCGCCATTGGGGTGTTGCTATCAGTATCATAGTTATTGTTATTGATAGCTGGATGCTTTGAAGCTTAACTGAATAGTTGGGGAAGTGTCTAGAGTCAGATCTGAAGGCTTCATGATGGGGCCTTGGATGAGATGCTCACTGGCCCTGGAGGACCTTATGGCCTCTGCCTCCTCTTCGGCAGTGTCCCCAACCAGCGGGAACCTGGTCCAGTTTGGAGTGATGATCGAGAGGATCACGGGGAAGTCTGCACTGCAGTATAACGACTATGGCTGCTACTGTGGTGTCGGCGGTTCCAACTGGCCAGTGGACCAGACCGACTGGTGAGCAGGAGGAGGAAGGAGGGGGGAGGTGGGGAGGCAGCCTGCCAGGAAGGAGGCGCCGGGGGCACCTCGGCCAAAGGGATTTGAGTCCTGGGACCCCGGCAGCGCCTGCTTCCAGCCCCGTCCAGCCCCTCTAGGTTAACTATGACCTCACAGGTGCTGCCACGCCCATGACTGCTGCTATGGTCGCCTGAAGAAGCTGGGCTGTGAGCCCAAGCTGGAAAAGTACCTCTTCTCTGTTGGGCGGGACACCATCTCCTGTGGTAGGTGGCCAACCCTGGAATGAGCCAGACACCCACCGGGTAGGCAGGAGTCCCTCCAGCTAGGTCCTTGTCACAGGGCTAGACCCATGAGGCCTCCCATCATCACATAAGAGCGGCGACGCTTGTCCATCTGTTCCTATTCTTACCGGGCATCTGGGCCCCACGGTGGTGTGACCCACCAATGTAGCCCGTGCCCTGCCTCAGTCTCTGGGAGGTGAGCAGAGAGGACTGAGTCGAGCCACACTTGGAGCTGGATTCACACAACCTTCCCCTGGGAGGGGCCAGGAGGAACCTTGACTCTGGACAGCGGGCCCTGTCCTCACAAGCTGTTCCCTCCTACTGGGGCTGCGGGGCTGGGCCCACCTCCTCCTCATTGCCAAGTTCAATGCCCATTCGGCCCTGTTAGCTTTCCTCTGAGCCTCAGCTGGGGAGATAGCCAAGCGCAGGAACGCCCAAAGGTTCCTGGAATCAGAGGTTCCAACTTTCTTCCCAGTGCAAAGTCAGGATGGTTCAGAGCCTGGTGGATGTGGGATGCAGGGAAGGACCCAGACAGTCCAAGGAATGGGCTCAGCACAGAACTCAGAGTCTGTGCCCAAGTGAGCCAAGACCAGCATCACTGAGGCCGAGTTGGCTCGGACAGTCTCGAACCTGCAGGGGATGATCCCTCAGCAGGGCAGCTGAGTCCTTGTCAGGCAAGGGTGGGCTAGACCCCAGGTGAGACGGTGCTGAAAGGATGTTAGCTGAGGAGTCAGGTGGAGAGGTCACGTACTTTGCCTTGTGCCCACCATGGTCCTTTGAGCCTGTATGAGTCCTTGCCTCTTATACTGAGACGGCCACGCCCATCTCCCCAGCCGCCCACTGTCAGGGACCTCAGAGCCCAGTCCTCTCAGAGTCCTGCTGAAACAGCAGGTGTGGACAGAATCCTGAAGAATGTTCATCTTTGAGGGGGAAATGAGGCACCAGACCCTTCTAGACAGGGAGGTGGATTCTTGGGGACTGAAGAGCCAGAGCCACTCTGGGCAGAAACAGACACTCACAATGGATTGAAATAAGGCTTCTAGGCAACTGGGGCCTGCCATGCTGACACCATCTGGCTCTGGGGGGAGGTGGGGGGGTGGGGCAGTCTGATGCTCAGGCTAGGTGCAGGTTCTGTCTCCTCTGACAGAGGCAGGCCGAAGCCCTGAGAAGGTCCTAGCATTAGTCTAATAGCCTCCAGCCTGGACATGGACCGTCACTAATCATGTCCTCACATAGGGGAGGGATGTTATGGCCCTGGCCAGAGGAAGAGGAGAGGTTGTGAAGCTGGTGTCCTCTCAAGGCAGGAGAGGATTAATGCCATGTGAGAGGAAAACCCTAGGGCAAATTTTGGCTTTTTTAGTGTCCTGGGCCTGGCCAGCCAGTCCCCACCCAGTCCTTAATTGGCAAAAGTGTGGGACATCCCCTTGAGTGTGGGCTTCCACAGGAAGTGGGAAAGTGGCTGAGGCTGGGGCTGGGGACCTGGACCACAGAGTAGCCAGTGGCTGAGGGCCAGAGCCTCCATCCCAGTCCCCGGCTTGTTTGTCTTCCGCTCTAGCTGGTAGGAGCACTTGCCAGCGGCAGACCTGTGAGTGCGACAGAAGGGCTGCCCTCTGCTTCCGCCACAACCTGGGCACGTACAACCGCAAGTATGCCCACTACCCCAACAAGCTGTGCACCGGGCCCACCCCACCCTGCTGAGGCCCCACTCGTCTCCCTAACCGCCCCAGGTGGCTGCCGTCCCAGGCCCGGAGAAGCTTGGAACCCAAATCGCTCTCCTGCAAACCCGACCCTCCCCTCAGAGCTCACAGGCCCGGGCCTCTGGGACCACACCTGTTCCCCAGGATCAGCTAAAGGAGGCACAGGACCCTTTAGCACACACAAGACCAGCTAAGTCTCCCCGGCACCTCGGTTCCCTCTTCTGAACAAGAGAATTATATTTCCCTGCAAGTCTAACGTTTTTCCATTGCCTTCCCAGAATTTAGATGGTAGTTTCCTTCGCTCACTCGTCCATCCATTCAGTCAGTCATTGTTGAGCACCTGGCCTGGGCCAGCACAATGCTAAGCACTGCCGTGCAATAGGGACAGATGGGACATGGTGGCTCCTGCCTGCATGTGAATCCTTTGTTTTCTACAGCAGTAAGTTCCCATGCTTCCATGCTTCTCAGTCCACGGCCTGAAACTCGCTATGTGGACCAGTCTGACCCTGAAACCACAGAGACCCACCTGCCTCTGCCTCCTGAGGGTTGGGATGAAAGGTGTGCGTCACTACACCTGGGATAGGCTCCTTTTTTTTTTGTCTACAGTCTTATCCAAGACTGTCATGTTTTTCTCTGGAAGGAACATTTCTGGCCAAATGGCTTACTAGGAGAAGCATAAAAAAATGCTAACCTAAAAATACTGTCCCCATTGTCATCAGTCCTCAAAACGCCCCCACCAGCAAGGACTGATTTAGAAAGTTGCCTTAGATCCATCTTGCCCAACTCTCACTTAAAAAAAAAAAAAAAAAAAAAAAAAACTTAAAACTTTTGTTTGTTTGTTTTTTGGTTTTTGTTTTTGGAGGCAGGGACTCATGTAGCCCAGGCTGGCTTTAAACTTGCTATGTAGTCAACAATAACCATGAACTTCTGATCCTTCTGCCTCTACCTCCTAACTGCTAGGATTACATGCATGAACGATCACAGTGGTTTTACGAAGTGCTGGGGATGGAACCCCAGGCTTCATGCATGCTAAGCAAACACTCTATCAACTGGGCCACATCTCTAGTCCAGTCCTTTTTTTGACGGATGGGTATCTGAGGGCCAGAGAGCACACACTCTTCCCAAGAGGTGTTGTCTCCAGGTCGTCCCCTGCTTCAAGAAGTTGGCACCAGCTACCTCATCATCCCAGTCTGGTGTGGCTGTGTTGATCGGACCTAACAGAGGCCAAGTCCAGATGTCCAGGCAGGTCAGGTGAGCACACACAGCTGACTCAGGCTCCTAACAGCAAGAAGAGAGAGGAGTTCACCCCGCTGGGCCCTCTAAAGGATTCCCAGCGGGAGAGGCCTGCCGCTACTCCAGAAGCAAGGTGCTCAGGCAGATTTTACTCCCAGCTACAGCTGTGATACCTCCACCGTCTGTAGCAAGTGGGCAGTAGCCTAGGGTTACTCGAGAAGAGCCTGCTCCATCGCACAAAGCCGCGTAAACACTGCACAGGGCGAGTCTCACAGGGGACACTGGATAAAAAACATCCACTCCCTTTGTCCTTTTCATGGTACAACACGATCTCTGCCAGCGTGACATCAAAGGGATGCGTCATCGGGGAACTTTGAAGGTGACGCATCTCATTGCTTGAAAAGACAGAGGTGGGTGGCAGGTGTGTCTGTTGTAACCGACTCAAACCGCCGGGGAAACAAGGCCTTAAAGCAAAAGTGGCTGGTGAGAGATGCCAGCCTGACTGACCCTCATTCCGCAAAAAGTGTGGTCCCACAGCGCCCTCTGGTGTCCATCGTTTAGATGGTTAGGAAAACTATCTGGTTTATGCCGGCCGGGGTTTCCTAACCTTTATCAGGCGGGCAAAGTGCATGCTGGGCTGGTGATGCTCTCAACAGTTAATATGCCGAGAGACCACCGAAGGCGGCCTCACCACCGCCATAGGAGGTGGATGGACCTAATGAAATGGGGAAGTCCAGCAATGGAGGTTGCAGGGTGCCATTCGGGCGGGAAGGCCAGAGGCTATTTCTGGGCATGGGTTGATTTGAGGTACAATGGGATGTTCTTGACGGATTGTATAACTATCCTATCCCATAAGTGAGAGACGTGGAAACAAGACTCCTGAGTGAGCAGCCTGCAGTGACCCAGCCGTGACCTTAGACCAGGCCGAGAGCCTGTGGGCCATAGGGCCTTTCTGTTTGCCCAGGTCTCAATAAATATTCAATGAGTGAGTCGAGGAATCTGTATAGATCCTATTTGCATGTGTGTGACCTCGGTACAAACACTGGACACCGGAGCTCAAGACTTGTGGAAATGGCTGGCAAAAAAACAAAACAAAACAAAAACAAACCCTGAACTTAATTCAAGTACACACCTGTGTCCTTCCACTTCCCAGAAGCAGATTCTAGGGCAGTGGTTCTCAACCTGTGGGTCGCGGCCCCTTGGGGGTTGCATATCGGATTCATTATGGTTCATAACAGTAGCAAAATTACAGTTAGGAAGTAGCCATCAAAATAATTTTATGGTCGGAGTCAGGACCACATGAGGAACTATATTAAAGAGTCACAGCATTAGGAAGGTTGAGAATTATTGCCCTAGGCCCTTGATGCTCAAGGAGGCTGATGGACAGACATCAGCAGCAGCTGCAAGCAGTGACAGTGGCAGCCACATGGTTATCGATGTCAGCCCTGGTGCCAGGCCTGCGGTAGCAGAGTCAATAGGTTAATAGGACCCTCAGGTGTGTAGGAAACCTAGGAGCTGCCAACTGTCACAACCTAAGTGTCGGCATGAGTAAGATGGAATAGCACAACAAACCTGTGCTAAGGTTTAGTTAAATATATATGAAGTACATTTATATGCCTACCATATAAACAGGCACTTGTGTCCTAAGAACTGATGGCTGTTAGAATAGCAATGCTACATAACATTAAGCAGTTGGCATTCACGGAATAGCCCTTGAGTGCTTTATGTGAACTCACTGGATGGATGCATGCATGGATGGATGAATGCAAGGATGGATGGATGCATGGATGGATGAATGCAAGGATGGATGGATGCATGGATGAATGGATGCATGCATGGATGGATGGATATGTAGGTGGATGGATGGGGAGGTACATGAATGTGGGGGGAGTGAATGAATGGATGGGTGGGTGATGGATAGATGCATACATATGTGGGGGTGAGGAGATGAGTTAATAGATAAACAGATACATGGACAGATGGACACATAGATGCATGCATGTGTGCATGGATGAGTGGGTGGGTGGACAGATGGATCCATGGAGGATGGGTGGATCCATGTTTGTGTTGTGGTAGGGGTCTCTGAGAGCCAGGGAAAAGAAAAGCAAAAAAAAAAAAGTCACATGGGCTGCTCAATGTCCTTGAATATACATAAACTTGACATTTCTCCTGCACCCCTCGCCTTGCTTAGTAAGCCTTCCCAGAGACCTTGAAGATCAGAGAGACTGCCATGTGGTTTAGTCTCTGCCAAATGCTTATGTGAGACCTTGTGTGGTGGTCTGAAAGAAAATGGCTCCCAAAGGGAATGACACTATTAGGAGGTGTGGCCTTGTTGGAGGAAGTGTGTCACTGTGGGGTTGGGCTTTGAGGTCTCCTGTGCTCAAGTTACACCCAATGAGACAGGCCACTTCCTGTTGCCTGCAAGATGTAGGGCTCTCAGCTTCTTCTCCAGCACCATGTCTGCCTGCATGCCACCATGATGATGGATTAAATCTCTGAACTATAAGCAAGCCACCAAAATTAAATGTTTAACTTTATAGGAGTTGCCGTGGTCATGGTGTCTCTTCACAGCAACAGAAACTCTAACTGAGACAGAAGTTGGTACCAGGGACTAGGGTATTGCAGTGATAGGCCTGACCATGTGTTTGTTTGGAGGGATTTGGACTTTGGTACTTTGGGGTAGTACTTTAAGTGCTATTTAATGGGCCATACCAGCAAAGGCATGGAAGACAGCGGTGCTAAGAGTGATTTGAACTATGGGGGGCTGGCTCAAGAGGTTTCAGAGGAGAAGAATTTTAGTATGTTACCTAGAGATCATTCTTGTGACATTTTGGTTAAGAAAGTGGCTGCCTTTTGCCCTTGTCTGGAGAGTCTGTGTTAATCCCACTGATTGAGAATAAGACCACTACCACAGTTTAAAAGCCAAATTTGAAGCAAACTTTAATACTGGCCAGGTAGATGGAATCTGGCCAGGTCCATATCCAGGTTCCTGGGAAATGGCCCAGATTCACAGTTTGCAGAGGTTTAGAAAGAAACCCATAATTCATTGCATTTCCCATCAGGTCCAATTAGGGGCAAGCATATATCCTGATGTACCTCTAGACTACATCCAATCAGGGGCAAGTGTACATCCTGATGTATTTTCTGCCTATGAACTTCCTATCCACATGTGACCATGTGCAGATGGGTCAAAAAACTTGTTCAGGGGAGTGAAAACGTGTGACTTGTTATCTCTCATAAACAATAGCATTTCAGGAACTATCTGTCCTTGGGCAGAAATTGCAGATCAGAGGCATTTTTGTTTTATTGATCTCTTAGGTATAGTAATTACAACTTAAAATGTTACTTTGGCTCTTACATTCCCCGCTTCAGTTGTATCCTGAGTCAAATCCTTGACTCTGTGATAGGTACCTGTTTATATTGGGGTTGAATAAACATCAACTTAATGGTACCCAAACAGGAATTATCATTTAGTTAAGGCATCAGTTACTGAATTCCCCACAAGTGCCCGCCTTAAGGAGATTTCTACCAGGGTCCAGAACAGATGCTACAAGTAGCTAAGGATTCTAATCTGAGGGATATTCAATGAATCTAAGCACACTGAGTTCGTTAGTCCATTCACTTTATTCTTCAAAGTCAATTCTATTTACACAGATTCTTTTCTGTTCTCATACTTAGCTCCTCTCAGTCCCTCCTGCTGTTCTCTCGTCTACCTAGTTCTTTCCATCTCCGTCCTCATCTTTGTTCTTCTCAATCCCTCTTCTGCTG